AGGTCAGGAGTTCGAGACCAGCCTGGCCAACATGGTGAAACTCTGTCTCTACTAAAAATACAAAAATTAGCCTGGCGTGGTGGTGGACACCTGTAATCACAGCTATTTGGGAGGCTGAGGCCAAAGAATTGCTTGAACCTGGGAGGCAGAGGTCGCAGTGAGCCAAGATCTTGCCACTGCACTCCAGCCTGGGCAATACAGCAAGACTCCCATCTAAAAAAAAAAAGCCCCAAACCTGGCCCATAGCCAGGGCTGTCCAAGTGTTAGTCCCTCCCCTTTTCTAAAGAAGGTGCCTGGTGGATGAGCCTGTAGAGAGGATGCTGTGGGGGAGTCATGCCCCTGCCCCCGTGGGCCTCCAGATGCTGCCTGTGACTCCTGAGCATCTGCCTGTGACTCCAGATGCTGCACAGAGTGACTCCTGAGCCCTCTCAGTGTTCTCTGAACCTGTCCATGGGTGATCCCAGGCCCCTTCCATCTCCTCTAATTACCCTCCTTCACCCTGAGACCCTGGGGCCACACCCTGAATGTGATGCCCCAAAGAAGGAAGCCCACCATCCTGAGCCACCCCCCGCCCCCAGAGAGATTTTTCCAGCCCCAGTGAAACTGCAGTTTTTGGCCTGAGCCTCCCATTTCCCTTTACCCTTTAGGAAGGTTTGAGGATGTCGACCTTCCAGCTGGAAAAGGGCTAGTTTCTGGTGGCGGTGCCCTCAGGGATCCTGAAGTGGAGTCCTTACTGTGCACGCCAGAGTGGGCAGGCATCACTGAGGCATCTCTCTCTAGCAGGCTGGCCACAGAGAACTGCATGTGTTAGGGAGCGTTGCCTGAACCAGGCCGTATCTGCCCCAGGACATGAAGGAGGGTGTGACCAGTGGCCAGCAGCCTGTCCCTTCCACTGTGGGGCAGCACAGAGCCTGGGGCAGCCCTCTGCAGTGCTGGTCTGATGGCTCAGGGTCCCCCACTGACCTGAGCCTGGGAAGGACTCTGGATGCTCTAGGGTCTGTGTGTGGTGCTCCGGGCACAGCTCTCTGCTACCTGCCCACCTGCCTGCCTTTGATGTTTTATTTCCTTTGTATTTATTGGTCCAATTTTTAAACTCTTACCCTTGTAGGAAGCCCTTCAGGGGCAAGGATCCAAAATAAAACACTGATTAAAATGCATAAAATACCTCTTCTTGACAGTTGCAGGAGTAGCAGGCAGAATGAACGGTGCCAGGATGGCAGGAGCGGCACATTGCCCACTCAGCAGTTTGGGTGACCCCTCAGACGTGACTCTGCCAGCATCCCTAGATGACAGGGACCCCATGGGGGTGGGAGACCAGGAGACTAGGCCCAGCGGGCTGTGCCCTTGCTGTGCCAGCTTGGGCAGGCATCCTAGCCTCTCTCAGGCTTCAGCTTCCCCACCGTTAGGGCAGCCGCATGTAAGAGGCATGGGATGAGGCATCTCAGAGCCCATACCCTCCCAGAGCTGTCCTGCTCCCACGGAGCCCATGGCTCTGTGGGACCAACTGCCAGGCCTGGGGTGGCAGCTGTACAGAGCAAGGCTGACCAGCTTTTCTACCAATGTATTTCTTTTTTATTTTATTTTATTTATTGTTTTTACAGATGGAGAGTCTTGCTCTATTGCCCAGGTTGGAATGCAGTGGCACAATCACAGTTCACTGTAGCCTCAAACTCCTGGGCTCAAGGGATTCTCCCACTTCAGTCTCCCTGAGTAGTTGGGACTATAGGTGTGCCCCCACTATGCCTGGCTAATTTTTAAATTTTTGTGGGAGATGGGTATCTCACTATGTTGCCGAGCCTGGTCTTGAGCTCCTGGCTTCAAGTGATCCTCCTGCCTCAACCTCCTGAGTAGCTGGGATTACAATGGGATAGCAGTAGGATTGCAGCACCACCATGCCCGGCTTCCAACATACTTCAATTCCTCAGGTCTCTCATTGCTCAGTGGGCCTGATCGAGGATTAGCCCCATCAGCAGGACTTCCACCCCTGCAAAAACTCACTCATGCACATGTTTCCTTTCAAAGAACATTCGTGGGGGTGTGTTCTGTGCCACACATCACTCTGAGCTACAGACACACTCTCTGCCCTTGAGCACCTCACTCTCTAGCAGGTGAGACACACACACCCATGACTGAGCCGGGATTAAACATACATTACAGGAGAGATGCCACATGCTGAGGCTTTAGAGCACGTTTCCCTCTTTGCTCAAGGTCATTAGGAAGCTCTCACCTTTTGTCATTAGGCAGGACTTGGTGGCATTCTTTCCTGACTGGCTTCCCTTTTTTAGCTTTTATCTTTTTATCATCTTGTAGCATAATTTTTCTGTCAGTTGGTGCAAATCACTTTGGGAATGAGGTGTGCTATACACCAATTACATAAAATCACTACTATAAGAATAACAATGTTGGGGACAAGAGGTGATATCTGACTGAGTAGGTCAAGGATGGCCTCCTGGAGGAGGTGGCCTTTGGGGTGGAAGGTTACAAAGACTGCTGGGGCAGGAGTCTGGGACAGTTCTCCAGAAGAAGATGACTTAGAGATAGGAGTGTGCAGGACAAAGTGGGGAGGCCCAGGTGTCTTTGCTGAGGGACTGGTGGGAAAAGAGGAAAAGAGTGCTCAGGGCAGGTTGAGGACAGGTGGTGCAAGCTTCCTTGTGCCAGATTCGTGTCTGTATGAGAGGGGCTTACCAGCACCTCGGGGTGGCCTGTGTCCTCACTAGCCCCCCTCATTCCCCAGCCTTCTCTCCAGCAGCTCCCGCCACCCACCAGCCCGGCCCTAAGCTGGATGCTAAAAGTCCTATTTACCTATTGAGGTCCCCAGCCTCACACCCGCGCCAGCCCCAGCTGCTGGCCCAATTACTTATTGATCGCCTGTCAGGATGTTTGCTTTTCTGGTGGGTCACTGGAGCGTGTGTGACTGTGGAAAATAGCCTGGTGGGAGTGGGGTGGGGAGAAGCGGAACTGCAGAAGAGCCTGGAGAGAGGATGAGAGGGGCCAAAGGGAGGGTCAGGGTGGACAAAGCCCTTGGGGATGACAAAACCCTTGCAGATTCCATAACATGTCAGTGACACCCTGAGTCCTCTCTGCTTAATCAGTGACTTAATCAACAACCACGAAGCTCCCGTCAGTCCTGGGAGACTGGTGGAGCATTTGCAAGTGTGTGGCTTTGTGGACAGACCAGAGCTCCCACCCCAGAACTGCTCCCTCTACTGGCTGGGTGTCCTTGGATAGCCACAACTTCTCTGAGCCTCAGTTGCCTTGATGGCTGATGCATGGATGACAAGGATGGATGGCCTGTGGCCATGAAAGCAGGGGCTGTGTGAGGTGTGGGAAGGCGTGGGAAAAGGGCCTGAGCTAGGGTGGAGAGGGGACATGCAGTCTGGGCCTCCCCCTCCTGCAGTGAGCCCCCTCCGGGCCATGAGTACAGCGTGTGGACACGGCAGCAAAGCCTCAGGGGCACTGGAGGCTGGAGTGGAGGAGCGGGAGTGGGTCCTTACCCCACCAGCAGCGAGATGACTGCAGCTTGGCTCCCAGAGGCCATCCGTTCCACCCGTGGAGCAGCTCCTAGGGTCTGACCTACCTTCCCCCCACCCCGCTACTCACCCTCTTTGCCAGGCCAGTTTCCCATGGGGGTGGATGGAGAGAGAGGAGGGAAGGAGGAGACGGGAGGCAGTTCGGGGCAGAAGTGGGGACAAGTGGCCTCTGAACAGGGGGTGGGAGAGGGTCATGGAGGCTCCCACATACCCCTTGCTCACTCCACCTGCAGCCTATATGCAAACTGGACCCCGCTCCTTGCCCGGTTTCTCATATCACCAGCCCTCAAGCCCTGCATGGCTTCAGGGCCCAGCTTGAACAAGCCTCGGTGCTGTAGTAGGGGCAGACTCCTCCGGGGTTGCCTGGCTGTCCTGGCCTGTGGGAATCTGCACGTTCCTCAGACAAGCAGCTGTACTAGGAAAAAGGTGATGGGAGCCCTGAGAGACAGACAGGTGAAGGCTGGAGAGTCTTTTTAAGGGGAGCACACTTCACTTCTTATTGGGTATCAGAAAACACTTCTTAGAGCAGTGGACTTCAATTAGGCCTTGAGGATGGAATTTCAACAGCCAAGGAAGGGGCGTTGCCAGAGGAAAGAACTGCAGGAACCAAGACCAGGAGGCAGGAAAAAAGATTCTCCAGGCACTGGGCTCAGGAGACTGAGCTGGGTCACCAATGGGACCCAGAGGAAGAGGAGAGTCACAGATCCCACCAGGAGTTCAGGCTGGATTTGGATTTGCAGGTGCAGCGGGCGGGGGGAGGGTAGCTTCAAGGCTGGGCCTTCTGGATGAGGTGTCCTCCAGCAATCCAGGAACCCCATGGGTGACAGACCTGTGAACAGTGACAGGTGCCATTGGTTTACTGCAGACCCAGCCACAGAGCTGATGGGGAGGGGGGATGGTGTCTGCACCTGGGGAGGCTCAGGGCTCAGGGCTGAGCGAGTGGAGCACCAGCAGCCTCAGAAGCCCTGGCCATGCAGTCTGGGGTCTAGCCACACTTCTGGCTGCTGTGGCTTCTTGGGGGCTGTTCCTAGAGGCCTCAGCCCTTGAGCCCCTTTGATCCCCACTGTGAGCCCAAGGGCGGCTCCGCAGGTCTGGTTTTATCCCTGATGAGCACCAGGGGAACTGTGACTCTCAGGCAGGGTGTGTGCCTGGAGTCAACCGCCTGTGAAATGTAAAGGAGATGGCGCCAATGCCAGGCTCTTTGAGGTGACCTGTCCCTTCCCTGAGCCCCTCCATCCCAAGGGTGCTGGGAAGGTCCTTTGGGAAGACTCCAGGCAGGGTAAGAGGCAAGGAGGAGGCAGCATGAGGAGGCCAGAGGCCATTCTGGCATGGGCATCTGGACCCTGCGTCTCTATCTGCATCAGGGTCATCGTGACAGGGCAGGAGGGGGCCCAGGCGGCTTGGGGTGGGGTCCAGACACACACCGCCCTCTAACTGCCACTTCTGTCCTTTGCTTGCCCCCGGCTGCAGGTGAGCGAGAGGATGCTGGCGGGGGGCGTGAGGAGCATGCCCAGCCCCCTCCTGGCCTGCTGGCAGCCCATCCTCCTGCTGGTGCTGGGCTCAGTGCTGTCAGGCTCGGCCACGGGCTGCCCTCCCCGCTGCGAGTGCTCCGCCCAGGACCGGGCTGTGCTCTGCCACCGCAAGCGCTTTGTGGCAGTGCCTGAGGGCATCCCCACCGAGACGCGCCTGCTGGACCTGGGGAAGAACCGCATCAAAACGCTCAACCAGGACGAGTTCGCCAGCTTCCCGCACCTGGAGGAGCTGGAGCTCAACGAGAACATCGTGAGCGCCGTGGAGCCTGGCGCCTTCAACAACCTTTTCAACCTCCGGACGCTGGGTCTCCGCAGCAACCGCCTGAAGCTCATCCCGCTGGGCGTCTTCACTGGCCTCAGCAACTTGACCAAGCTGGACATCAGCGAGAACAAGATCGTTATCCTGCTGGACTACATGTTCCAGGACCTGTACAACCTCAAGTCACTGGAGGTTGGCGACAATGACCTCGTCTACATCTCCCACCGCGCCTTCAGCGGCCTCAACAGCCTGGAGCAGCTGACGCTGGAGAAATGCAACCTGACCTCCATCCCCACCGAGGCGCTGTCCCACCTGCACGGCCTCATCGTCCTGAGGCTCCGGCACCTCAACATCAATGCCATCCGGGACTACTCCTTCAAGAGGTTGTACCGACTCAAGATCTTGGAGATCTCCCACTGGCCCTACTTGGACACCATGACACCCAACTGCCTCTACGGCCTCAACCTGACGTCCCTGTCCATCACACACTGCAATCTGACCGCTGTGCCCTACCTGGCCGTCCGCCACCTGGTCTATCTCCGCTTCCTCAACCTCTCCTACAACCCCATCAGCACCATTGAGGGCTCCATGTTGCATGAGCTGCTCCGGCTGCAGGAGATCCAGCTGGTGGGTGGGCAGCTGGCCATGGTGGAGCCCTATGCCTTCCGCGGCCTCAACTACCTGCGCGTGCTCAATGTCTCTGGCAACCAGCTGACCACGCTGGAAGAATCGGTCTTCCACTCGGTGGGCAACCTGGAGACGCTCATCCTGGACTCCAACCCACTGGCCTGCGACTGTCGACTCCTGTGGGTGTTCCGGCGCCGCTGGCGGCTCAACTTCAACCGGCAGCAGCCCACGTGCGCCACGCCCGAGTTCGTCCAGGGCAAGGAGTTCAAGGACTTCCCTGATGTGCTACTGCCCAACTACTTCACCTGCCGCCGCGCCCGCATCCGGGATCGCAAGGCCCAGCAGGTGTTTGTGGATGAGGGCCACACGGTGCAGTTTGTGTGCCGGGCCGATGGCGACCCGCCGCCTGCCATCCTCTGGCTCTCACCCCGAAAGCACCTGGTCTCAGCCAAGAGCAATGGGCGGCTCACAGTCTTCCCTGATGGCACGCTGGAGGTGCGCTACGCCCAGGTACAGGACAATGGCACGTACCTGTGCATCGCGGCCAATGCAGGCGGCAACGACTCCATGCCCGCCCACCTGCATGTGCGCAGCTACTCGCCCGACTGGCCCCATCAGCCCAACAAGACCTTCGCCTTCATCTCCAACCAGCCGGGCGAGGGAGAGGCCAACAGCACCCGAGCCACTGTGCCTTTCCCCTTCGACATCAAGACCCTCATCATCGCCACCACCATGGGCTTCATCTCTTTCCTGGGCGTCGTCCTCTTCTGCCTGGTGCTGCTCTTTCTCTGGAGCCGGGGCAAGGGCAACACGAAGCACAACATCGAGATCGAGTATGTCCCCCGAAAGTCGGACGCAGGCATCAGCTCCGCCGACGCGCCCCGCAAGTTCAACATGAAGATGATATGAGGCCAGGGCGGGGGGCAGGGACCCCCAAGCGGCCGGGCACGGGAAGGGGCCTGGCCGCCACCTGCTCACTCTCTAGTCCTTCCCACCTCCTCCCTACCCTTCTACACACGTTCTCTTTCTCCCTCCCGCCTCCGTCCCCTGCTGCCCCCCGCCAGCCCTCACCACCTGCCCTCCTTCTACCAGGACCTCAGAAGCCCAGGCCTGGGGACCCCACCTGCACAGGGGCATTGACAGACTGGAGTTGAAAGCCGATGAACCGACACGCGGCAGAGTCAATAATTCAATAAAAAAGTTACGAACTTTCTCTGTAACTTGGGTTTCAATAATTATGGATTTTTATGAAAACTTGAAATAATAAAAAGAGAAAAAAACTATTTCCTATAGCTAGTCGGAATGCAAACTTTTGACGTCCTGATTGATCCAGGGCCCTCTTCCAACTCAGTTTCTTGTTTTTCTCTTCCTCCTCCTCCTCTTCTTCCTCCTTTCTCTTCTCTTCCCCTGTGGGGAGGGATCACTCAGGAAAACAGGAAAGGAGGTTCCAGCCCCACCCACCTGCCCACCCCGCCCCAGGCGCCATCAGGAGCGGGCTAGGGGGCAGGCCTGGGCCCAGCTCCGGGCTGGCTTTTTGCAGGGAGCGGGTGGAGGGGACAGGTCTGCCGATGGGGGTGGGAGCCTGTCTGCTGGGCTGCCAGGCAGCACTACTGCCAGGGGTGGGAGCCTGGCTTGGGTGTGGCTGAGACTCTGGACAGGGGCTGGGGTCCTCCTGGGGGACAGCACAGTTAGTGCAGAGAGCCAGGGGCTGGAGGTGGGGCTGACCCCAGCCTCTGGTCCCAGCTCTGCTGCTCACTTGCTGTGTGGCCTCAAGCAGGTCACTGGCCTCTCTGGGCCTCAGTCTCCACATCTGTATAAATGGGAACATTACCCCTTGCCCTGCCTACCTCACAGGGCTGTTGTGAGGAATTGATGAGATGATGTATGTGAAACACTTTGTAACCTGTAAAGCGCTGTGCACATGTGTGGGTGACTGTTCTCATTATGGTCATTATTATCTCACTGTGGGGGATGGGGCTGCCGAGGGTCCCTTCATGAGGGTAGGGCTGGGGTGTGTCAAGGGGAGTGGCGCTCCAGGGACTTCCAGAGGCTCCTCCTAGGACAGCAGCTGGGGTTGTGGCCGGCAGCACTGGCTGGTGAGGGGGGCTCTAGACCTGAAGGGGATCCTGAGGCTGTGGGCATAGGGAGTCCCTCACCTCTGGTCTGGTGGTGGGTCTGACTGCCAGGCCTGATGATAACAGCTCTACAGGGCTCAAGGCTTAGCTCCCCAGAAGCTGGAGGCCCCCTATAGCATTGGCCTGGACTGATGCAAGGATTGGGAGCACCAACTCTGCCCAAGCCTTCTTTGCATAGCATTTATCAAGCACCTACTGTATGCCATTTCCCATGTAGAGTGCCCAGGCTGTGGGGACTGGGGGAAGCAGTTCTGGGACTGCCCTTGAGGCTTCCCAGGCCCAGTCTGGCCCCGTCTTCCACCAGGCCGTGGTCTGAGCCTGTCCTGGGCTGTTAGGGCTTCTGGGTTTGGGGCTGGGATCCGCCTGCACATGAGCAGACCCAGAGGCTCAGAAAACAGCTCCCCACCTGCTGCTTCTAGCCCTGCCCATTCAAACCAAACCCAGCAGCTTCAAACTTGACCCTGGAGAGGGGTGCCCCCAACAACAGAGTGTGAAGAGCCAGGCAGTCACCTTGTAAGTTTCCCATCGGCCATGGACCTTGACCCACAAAGCTAGGCCAGTAGGTGCACCAATCTCTGTCAGGAAGGAAGGGCTTCGGGCTCAGGGAGGCCTGGTTTCTCCCCTCAGGGCTCCCTCTTTCCTTGGGAACTCCTTGGGTTCAGCCCCATAGTGGACCCAGGGTGATCCTGTTGCTCATTCTTCAGGCTAGGGGAGAACTCCAGCCATGTAAGAATCAATGGGCACAGACGCAGCTGAACATGGAGCAGGAGCAATAGGGAAGTCAGCCCTCACAGCAGGAGACTTCCGGGATGCAGCTCCTCCCACCAGGGTTCTTCCCAGAGCCCACGCCCCCACCCAAACTCGCACAGCTACATGCCTATCACCTTCTAAACCAAACCTCGGGTGGGATGGCATGGTGGGCGGAGTCTGGTATGGAGTTGGCACTCAATCACTTATTCATTCATTTAATCTAAAGGCATCTCTGAGAGGCTGGTTGCCTCCTGGTTCCAGCTGAAGCAGTTGGTAGCCATAGCTGGGCCAGCCTGCCCTCTCCCCTATCTCCCAACCACCACCTAAGACTGTCCCTGGTTCTGGGGGAGGCTCAAGCCCTCTGAACTGTGGCTTTATCCCCTGAGAAGAAACAGGATCCTCTGCCCATAGGATCCTGGACTATTGGTGTGCAGCTGTTGAGGGTCCCTGTGGGCAGCCTAGACTGGTGATTATAAGGCTGTAAGGTTTGAGGTCAGGTCTGAGTTTGAGTTCCAGTTCCAGCACTTACCAGCTGCTCAGCATTGTTAACTCCTCTGAGCCGCAGACTTCTCGCCTGTAAACACTTGTTCAGGTCATTAGGAGGATGAAATGAAGGCACATGGGTTGGCTTGTGGATCGGTGCAGTGCCTGCCATTCAGTCAGTCCTCTACAACTGGCAGTGGTGATGATGACTCCACTCTTACACAGATGCAGAGGGGGAGGGCCAGAGAGGGTGGCAGCTTATCCTAAGTCGCACAGCTTCTAAGTGACCGATCTGGGGCCTGGTTCTAGACTCCCAGAGCCATAGACTTCTAAAACTGACTCAAGGCTTCTCAGAGCCACTTCTGGGCAGGAGAGCATTCAGAGGAGCACGAGGGACAGGGGGAGGGGTCCTTGGGTGTGTATACAACAGGAGGCCACGTGAGTCTTCAAGAACCCCACAAGCCTGCCCCTCCTCCCAGGAGAGACTGGCACACAGGCCGCCTCCATCATGCCAGCCCTGGAAGTCCAGTTGGCACCGTCCTCTGCAGGAGGCAGCTTATATGGGTTCTTAACTAACCCCTCTGGGATGCCTCAAGGCTGGTAAGAGCAGGGAGGTCTAGGGGCCAATTTATTCCTGGCTACTGGGAGAGAACAGCCCCCTGAGGAAACTGAAGGACACGAGAAAATTACTAGGTTGTTTGCAGATGGGGCCAGGATCAGTTTGGGGGAATGTGAGTGCCCAGGGCCCGTGGACTGGGTTGGCCAAGCAGAGAGGACTGGGGACTGGGCAGAGCCAGGTGGGTTTTAGTCCTGATGCAGCCCCTTCCAAGCTGTTTAACCTTCATCTGTGGAAGAGGGTTATGAACTCAACTGCTGCTAAAAGCACTGCTGGATTTAAAGGGCATTGTCTGGGAAGTCAGACTGGAGAGGCTGCTTTCTGTGTGGCTGGACAGCCTTTGAGAGGGGGAAAGGAGGAGCAGCTACTGCCTTGCCCTGGCACACACACAGCTAGAACCTGATCCCAGAGGTGGTTTGGAACGCCACAGCCTTCCTGGGCCACCCACATTCCCCCAGAGCCCTGATGGCCCTGCTCTGCCTCAGACCCCATGGGGTGGTGGAGTCAGGACGCCCTGCTGTCTCAAACCCTATTGGGAGCCAGCTGCTCTGCTCACCTTTTAATCTGGGGCCAAGGTGATGAGGGTGGAGGAAGCTGTTGGGGAAAAGGCAAGATACTGAATCCTGAGAGTCCAGCCTGCTTTCCAGGAGACTGAAAGAGCAGCACAGCCTCCAGGCCTGCTACTCTATGAGGCAGACATGCCTGAACCAGAAATGATGCTGAGACGGGGAACCCACTCTCGACATTTAAGTGGACCCGCCCAAGGGCGGCACCAGAAAGATGAGTGTTAGAGGGAGCAGCGAGCATCAGGACTCCTCCCTGGTTTACCCCTTACAAGTCAGAATACAAGACTCAGAGAAGGAAAGTAACCTGCCTAGAGTCACACAGCAGAATGGCAGATGGAACGTGGGCTTTGGAGTCAGGCTGACCTTAGTTCAAATCCCACCTCCACCATTGAGTCCCACATGCAGAGTAGGATTAAATCCTATGTTTACAGGGTGTCTGGGAAGATCGAAGACAGTGTTGTAAAGTCCCCACCGACACAGGGTGTGGCACCTGTTGGGTACACTAATGACCACTGTTACTAGCATGACATCTTTATGGGCAAGCAAGGGAGTGGTGGCTGAACTCAAGAACTGGTAGGGTAAGGGACTGTGGGACACAACAGGAATGCCAAATGGGTTGGGGTAGAAACCAAACCTGGCCATACCCTCTGCTTTGCCACTGGAGGCCTCAGGGCTGTGTGGGGAGGATAGAAGCAGACTCCAGCCCATGAGCCCTGTTTGCCCAGGAGAGAGAGTGGCTGTGCCCCGGGGCCCTGGATGACAAGGAGGCAGGGGAACATGTCACAGAGAGCAAGGGAGAAGGGGTGAGAGGAGGAGTGGAGACCTCTGACTGGTATCAGGAGTCCCTGGGGAAGTTCTGTCACCAGCTGGCCAAGGCCCCTTGAGTCTTTTAGGGCCTGAAGTCAGGGTTCATGAGGTACAAAGAACAGGGAGCACAGTCCAGCTGGAGCTAACTGATTTATGGAACCCTCAGAGAACCTGCTTCCACAGCCTATCACCTTTCCTGCTTCTTTCCCCAACTTGGTGCCCTCTGATGACATGAGAGCCTGTACAGGACTGAAAGTCACCCCCAGCTGCCATTCAAATACCCCCAGCTCCAGCCTCCTTTGTAGGCTGGCTGGCTAAGGCCTTTGATTTCTTCATTCCTAGTCTCCAGAGAAAAAAAAGTCTGGATGGTCACTCACCAGCCAATCAGTTGGCTGCCTTGAAGTCAGGTGCCCATCCCCTTGTCCAATCAGCTGTGGCCAAGGAGCTCAACTTGCACAACCAAGTTGGGGTGAAGATGGTGCAGAAAGCATGAAGGATTGGATGTTATCTATTTCTGCATAATGACCACACCCACAACTTACTGGTTTAAAACAACTGTTTATTTGTTCCTAGCTCTGGAACTTGGGCAGAACTTGATGAGAACAGCTCATCTTAGTTCTGTGTGGCATCGACTGGGGAGACTTCACTGCTGCTGAAGGTCCCAGATGGCTTCTGACCATGTCTGTTGCCTCGGCTGGGAGGCTGGAAGGGCTGCAGGGCCACGGGCTCCTCTCTTTCCACATGGTCTGTCTGAGTTAGTTTGACTTGTTTAGGGTAGCTCAGCACTCCAAGATGGCATAAATGGAAGCTCCCAGGTCTCTCGAGGTCGAGGCCAGGCAGACCCATAGCACCACATTGGCTGCATTCTATTGGCCAAGGCAGTCTCAGATCTGCCTAGATTCAATGAGAGGGAGGACAGAGCCCAGCTCTCACTAGGGGAAGCTGCAGTCACACACAAAAAGGCACACAGGGTGTGAGAGCTGTCACGGCCACCTTTGGAAGTCACCCTCCACAGGGACCTCTGTGGTGCCTTATTCCTTTGAGGAACCACTCATGGGTGCACAGCCCTGTATGGTTCACTGAGGAGTAGGGGGCTTAGAGAGAGATGGTGACTGTCCCAGCGATCTACAGCTGGTGAGGAAGAGCCAGGACCTGAACCCAAGTTTGCTGTGCAGTCTGAGGCCCTTTCCATAGCGAGGGTACGGGGGAAATATGGCAATAACCACAATAGCTACTGTTCATCGAGGGTTCATGCCAGGCCCCAGGCCAGATGTTCTATGTGTCTTCTCTTATTTCATCATCCCAGGAGGAGGGGCTTACAGGCTCCCTTTCAGATGAGAATACTGAGAAGTGACTGTCTGGGGCCCACCACCAGGTAGGTGCTGACTCCAGGATTCACACTTAGGACGCCAATACTTCCCTGAAACAAAGCACCACATTGGGCTGGAAACACTCCAGACTCAGGCTTCTCATCTGTGAAGTAGGCACGGCGTCCTTTCTTTGTGGAAGGTAGGGGAGGAGGGTGTGCTGTGGCCTGGGTGGGTGGGCACATGGAGGCGGGGGCATGCTGTAAGCTTCTG